CGAGGGCTGGAGCCCCTCTTCTATGAGGACAGGCTGAGGGAGTTGGGCTTGTTCAGCCTGGAGAAGAGAAGGCTGCGGGGAGACCTGATTGCGGCCTTTCAGTACCTAAAGGGGGCCTATAGGAAAGATGGGGAAAATCTTTTTAGTAGGGCCAGCAGTGACAGGACAAGGGGGGATGGCTTTAAACTAAACCAGGGTAGGGTTAGACTGGGTATAAGGAAGAAATTCTTTCCAGTGAGGGTGGTGAAACCCTGTCAGGGGTTGCCCAGAGAGGTGGTGGAGGCCCCATCCCTGGAAGCATTCAAGGCCAGGTTGGACGGGGCTGTGAGCAACCTGATCTGGTTCAAGGTGTCCCTGCTCCTGCAGGGGGGTTGGGCTGGGTGACCTCTGGGGGTCCCTTCCAACCCAAAACATTCTATGATTCTATGATTCCTGATCCAAAACCTCTTTATAGGACCTTGAATGCCAGGAGCTTCTCTCTTGTTTTAAGGTTGATGTTTCCAACCTGCCTCAGTAGTTTGGTGTCATTCTCCATTCTCTTCCAGAAGACTGGTCCCAAGAGCCAGATTTGTTTTCCCTTGCTGAAGAGACAACAGAAGGAGCTGACAGAGCCAAGGACAAGTTTTCCTGGGGAAATGGCTGGGAAACGTGTTATGTTCAGGTGCAGTTGAAACCCTTTCCTTTCCCACATAATCCCTGCCAGAGCACTAACATGATTCTTGAGCTGTAACTTTGATCTGAGACTAAAAAAGGCACCTGGAGCAGGTAGGAAAGCTATGATTTGCCTCTTCTACTTGCAAGGAGAAGAGGAAGTTAGATCTGAGTGTTTTTCAATGGTGATTAAGACCCTCAAATACTTTTGGTCGGTAAGAAAGAACAATCCTGCACAGATGTTTTAGCCCGTGTATGGCTGCTCATCCCCCTGTGCTGTCCATCCTCCTGGGCCACCATGCCTGCTATTCCTGGTTTTAAAATGGTCCTCAGGTGGGCTGTGATGGGAGTCTCCCCCCAGTTGCAGGTACTGAAGCGCAAGAATAAATCTCCCTCTCTGGAAGCAGCAGGGTAAGAGCTGGACTAGGGCATTTAATAGCTGGAGAAGGGCACTTAAGGGGCTCTGCTTCACCCTAAATCAACAATCATGGAGCCATTTCAGCAGCTGGGGTTGCCAGAGACTCCAGGAAGTCTGCTTTAGCCCTGGCCCGGCAAGGAACAGGATATGCTGGACCTAAGGTCATGCAATACCCACTTGCCTAATTCTCCCTAATCCATGAAAAGGGCTGCTTGTTTTGTTATTAGCATGATTTATTGCTGTTAAGTACTCAGAAGCATAAACTAGTAACACAAAGCTATCGCTGGGACCTCAGGCTACTTTCCTGAGTCTGCTTTTTGTTTCACACCCTAGGTTCTCCAAAGACAGCGATTTTGCAGCTGAAGGACAGTTCTCAAAAACCTTTGCTGAGAAGCAAAGAGAAAGGCAATATCCACAACTCCACTACCGAGCCCTCCCTAAACCAGGTGGGAAGTCACCATTCCTTGAGAAGGGGAAAGAAGGATGGGTTGGACAAATCCAGCACCCTCCTACCTGCTGCAAAGCTATTATTAAGTCAGAAGCGAACAGAAACCAATGTTTAGTTCCTCGGGTAGCTGGAGGAGGAGGACCAGAGGGTGTGGGGAAGGTGAGACACGGCGTTGGTACCCCCCACCCCAGCCCACAGATAATAATACATAGTAAGATAAAAGATTCTCCTTTTCCAGCCTACTACAAGCCACTCTCTTTACAAGATCTATGAAAGTTCACCGGTCATTCTCCATCCACAGCAAAGCTGCAATCATAGAATCATGGAACGGTTTGGGTTGGAAGGGACCTTCAAAGGTCACCCAGTCCAACCCTCCCTGCAACGAGCAGGGACACCTTCAGATGGATTAGGTTGCTCGGAGCCCCATCTAACCTGACCTTGAATGTTTCCAGGGATGGGGCAATCACTAAAGATTTAATTGTGGTGAGTAAAGACACCTCTCAGCCCCCTGAATAAAAGCTGCTCTGGCAGCTGTAGTCATCCTAAACCCATACAGCGATTCACCCAGCACACGTCCAGCAGTAGGGACCCAGCTGTATCATCCCTTACATAACTGGGCACCATTTAAGATCTCCATGTCATAGCTTTTTACATGTGAAGAAGCTGCATCAGCTTCACAAATCTATTTTTAAGTTGATTAAGCTAAACATTTATGGACACTTTTATGGGCCAGCGCTTCCTCGACGATGAGGCATGACTACATCGCAGGTAAGGTAAAGCACGACATGCCATCTTGAGTAACTTACTGGGACAACTGTTTCTACACTCGCTGCCTCTTCTTTCTCCTTTTCTTCCATCCTCTGTTTGCTTCAGTGTTGCTGCCTCCTCTCAGCCTCTTCCCCTAACTTATCTCAAACTAATTTAGCATCCAGACCTTAATGTTGCAATCATCAGAGCCCCCCCCCATCCCACCTGCTCTTCAGTACAGCTCTTCCCTTTACATGGGGATCTCTGCTTCTCCCCTTCGTAAATGCCAAGGTCCATGCTCAGTAGTCCTTCATCTTCAATCCCAAGACCTGATCCATCCCCTCAGTATTTCTGACAAGAGCTGGGCTTCTCATTTTATACTAAGAGGAGCAGGTGGACCCCTAGCCAAAGAAATAATCTCTGAAAGTAATCAAAAGCAGAAGACCCTCTGTTGAAAATCAGAGTCTGTAGGAGTGTTGAGCAAAGGGACATGACGGCTTCTTCCATCTGAATGTAGAAAGTTAACGGGGCTGTCTTCAGGGTATCAGAGCACGAAGAAAAGTACAGACTTATCGACGAGATCCTCTTAAATGAAAGCATCTCTTGGTCTCCCAGGTCTGAGGGAAGAGGAAGAGCAAGCAGGTGCTAGGGATGACCCTTTCCTCTTGGCAGGAGAAAAAAACCCCCGAAAAATCCAGCCGCTCAAAACACACAAGCGCGTGCTGGGCATTGCCGTGTACTGCCAGCAGCACGCTGCCAGGAGCAGCCCTTCCAAGGCTTCTGCTGCAGCCACAGGAATTTCGGAGGGAGAGGAAAGCATTTGGCTCGCAAACGGTGCTCATCTGAGATGCAGCAGAAATTCCTTGCTCCGGTTCCCTGCATGGCCGCAAGGACCTGAGCCTTGGGAGTTTGCTCACTCCCTTCCAGGAGATCTCGGAGTCTGACATACTCTGAAAAGTGCCTATGATAATACTCACTAATAAGACCTACCAAGTGGTCTGTGTCTCCATCTCTCGCCCCATCCATCTTCCACCTGCAAATCAACACAGTAAGTGTGAGAAGGGGCCCGACTAAAGCCAGGGGAGCCCTCAGCCACTTCACGCGGCGGCTACTTGAGGCAGGCAGGAGCCAATTTTGCAGTTTTACCCAAACAACACACCCAAGACTGGCCTGACATGAAACTCCACCATGCTGGGGCCACCTCGCTGAGGAACCGCCTGTGCTTTTTTACAGGCCCGGTGCCAGCCCAGCCATGGCGACCTGCTCACCAGAGCCCTTGTTCCTCTCCGCCTTTCTCCAGACCCACCACATCATCCCCGTGCCCGGCAGCGATGGCTTCCAGGACGGACGGCAGCTGCTGAGCAGCCCAGCAGCGCCCACCACCCAATAAACCCCTCCAGCGCCTCACGGGTCAGCCATTACTGTGGGGAATGGTGCCACGACGGGGGCCTCCACATCAC